TGAATCCCTCGGCAATGGTGCCGGGTGATCCATGAGGACGAGGTCCCTTGGATGGTCCCGCCCCTCTCAAAGTTAGTATCAAGAGGTTGGGAAATCAATTGAAGAGAAGGCAGGAGGAGAAGAAACTTACGAAGACGACGTGGCCTGGTTTCGGTCGCATCGGAGGATGTCCCGGCACCGGGAAGATGAAATTGAGGGGGTGCGCGTCGTCCCACGAAGGCTCCATCGCCTCCTTGATGCGTTGCGCGACCTCGGAGTGGGGGAGCGCTCCCTCGGCAAGTGCTGTTCCATTGAGTGACACCTCGAGGCGCCATTGCGTACAGCGGGAGCTTGCTCTTCATCAATGGCGCCACCCTCCTTGCGTGGTAGGCCCCAATGATGCCTGACCTCTTCAGGCCATTCTCCTTGAGGATGTGGATGGCAGCAATGTGGTCCTAGATCTTCTTCTTGTCCTTCTCTAGGATGCCCCACTTCCTCCATGACTCTGGGGCCTCTTCGATCAAGCGCCCGATGAACTCCGACAAAGAGGCGGTGGCATCATTCTTGAGGTAGAACCACTGCGAGTGCCACTCCTTGTTGGACGTCGAGAGTCGCATCGACGGGTACTCACCGACCTGATTGTTCTGGAGTTGGATGCCTCCACAGATCAAAGAGGGTGATGGTGAAGAAGTGCCTCCATAGATCAAAGTGGGGGCTGATCCCCAGGAATCCCTCACACAGGGCGACAAACATCGCCATGTGATGGATCCTATTGGGATGGAGGGGTTGTAGCTCGATCTTGTAGTAGTGTAGCAGCCCCCAAAGAAATCTATGGGCGGGGGTCGTGAACCCATGCTCATGGAAGTGGGCAACCAACACCACATAGCCATCGGGCGATGAAGATAGATCCTCCTCACCGGGCAGCAGCCACTCCTTGGCCGAGGTCCACGCACGGAGAAGACCGTGACTGATGAGACCTTCCATGCATAGGAAGGTGGTGTCGGAGCGGCACCATAGATCCATTAGAGGTGGGGTGGATGGATGCAGGCTCGACGGTGGTGGAGATGTGGAGGCAAGAGACCTAAGAGATCGGTGGTGATGGTCGTGGCTACGGAGGCAAGGATGAAAGGTATGGAACCTGGGGGGTGAACCCTTTGGTTTTATAGTGGCGATGGATGCAAGAGGAAACCAACTGCCCACCTAGATCTCCGCGCCTACCATGATCAGCCATAACGTCTCACCGCGGGAAGTGCGCATACAATCTCTATGTCTGTTCTCTTGAAAAACTCGTCGGACGTTTTGTCTCTCTGAACGAACCATGACTCACAAGAGGAATATGGATAAAAAAGCACCTCTATGGCCCGCCTAGGCCCAGGAGTTCGAAGGTTGGCCCATCGATGGGTTCGACAACCACTTTGGGCACTCTTAAAATAAGGGATGGAAGGGATGGGCCTGCAAGCGGCTAGTACCTAGGCGCACGAGTGCCACGGGCATCTCGGCCCATGATTGAGTCTCGGTCGGGTAGGATCCATGGTTTTTTCCCTAAAGAAAGGCATAGAGCCCTCGGGACCGGTCCAACGGATCGAGAACTATATGGATTGACCGCTGAGAATTTAAAGTCAGTCACCAAGCTGACCCTATCCGGATCCCCATGAATGGGATGCCGGGACCCCACTCGAACTAGCTAGCTAACGAAATCTCATGGCCATACCCGTGAAGGGTCCGACCTCGATGAGAGGGAATCACCGTCCTCGGGACATGCCATGGGCAGCAAAAGAAGGCCAAGGCCCTCAGAGTCCTCCCATTCAGAAAAACCTCCGAAGGAGTATTCTACTCCTCCGCAGGCTCGGGAGCTACTGTCGAAGACCAATACCAGGGTACTCAAAGAGGAGGAGCTAACAACCATCAACAATGATTCATCCGGGCAGTCAAGAGCGCGACTACAGCTCCAACCGACCCCTAGGTGCACAAACTCCGCCTCGCCCGACCTCTGGGGGTTGGTTACGCCTCGCTCAACACTAAGGCCGTGGGCTCTGCCTCACCCGACCCCTGAGGGTTGGCTCCGCCTCGCCCGACACCGAGGCCGTGGGCTCCATCTCACCCGACCCCTGAGGGTCGGCTCCACCTCACCCGACACCGAGGCCGCGGGCTTCGCCTCGCCCAACCCCTGAGGACGGACTCCACCTTGCCCGACATCTGAGGGCGGAATTTGCCTTGCCCGACCTCTGGGGGCAAACTCCGCCTTGCCCAACACCTGAGGGCGGACTCCGCCTTACCCAACCGCTGGGGGTTGGCTCCACCTCACCCGACACCGAGGCCGCGGGCTCCACCTCGCTCGACCCCTGAGGATTGGCTCCGCCTCGCCCAACACCGAGGCCATGGGCTCCGCCTCGCCCGACCTTTGGGTTTGGGCTCCCCTCGCCCGAGCCTTGGGTTTGCACTCCGCCTCGCCCGGCCTCTGGGGAGGAACTCCGCCTCACCCGACCCCGAGGCCGGGGGCTCCGTCTTGCCCGACGGAGACCCATACCGCCGCCAACGACTCTAGGTCCAAGCGTATGGGCCTGGGTCAAAGCTCTGACACCAGGAGGGAGACTGGCACGCCTCAATGTAACCCATGACAATGATGGGTCATGCCCGAGGGCTCACATCAGAAACAGTGTCGGACGTACCGGTGCTGTTTTGCCTAACCCCTGTACGAACACTTACGGGCACGTCAGTTCTCTTCGACGTTCGCCAGGACAGGATGGAGCGCCATGACCGGCGAACGACGCCTGCACATGGTGCCAATGACGGACAGGGCCGCGACGTGAAGCTGTCCCTGTTGACGTCTACAGGGTCGGCGGGACCCACATAGAAGAAAAGAAGGACCCAACGATCGTGGAGGACTTCTCCTTCTGATTCTCCTTTTTTCCCTCCGCTATAACCCCTGCTTTCTCTTGTCCTATAAAAGGGAAAAGAAGGACGTCCCATTAGGGGGCATCGAACCAACGATTCGACTCAACTCAACTCGAATCGATCGCATCATAGCACATCGCACCGATTCAGACTCGAACCTCGAACTAATTAGAACACACAAGCACATAGCAGAGAAGCGACCGAGCCCTCGGCGCCCGTTCGCTCCTCTTCCAAGAGACTTGAGGCATGTTCCTCGCTCGACCGTTTATAACCCCTACTATGAACTTTTAGTGCTAGTAACACGAGCAGCAGCAACGAACTGGACGTAGGGACATTCTGCCCGAACCAGTATAAACCTCGTGTCCTCTTAGCACACCATCCGATCCAGACGCTCAATACTAGAAATTTACTTGTTGATGGCAACTCAAAACACCGACATAGTCCTTGGTGAGATCTCTGTGTTTTTATTGGGGTGTTCGCGTCCTACCCTATTCCGTTACAAAGATCGGATCTGCATGTCTATATCCAATACGAAGTCCTCATAGCTCACGTGTCGTGTTCGATTACTGAGGTTTAACCTAAAAAATCGTGGCCCCATATAACACACGGGCATATATGAAAAAATAGGATGTTATTGAATTTTCAGTTTACACAATCAATTTCATTCTATTTACATTAATGGATTTGGACATAGTTTAGGGTTCTCAAAACAAAATCGTTTATTAGTTTTTTAATTATCTTTTTATAAAATTGTCGTTGTATGCAAAGACAAAAAATCGTTGAACCCGATACAACGCACGACATATATGTAATTTTAGTACTAATCATATTGATATTTTTAATAAAATAGATCAAATCTAAGAATGTTTAACTAGTCTCAAACCTAGATTACATTATTTTTAGAATGGAGAGAGTACTAGAAACTCTACAAGGATAACAGCTCCGGTGCACCCTTTCTAAACTAGCACAATCTTAAAAGCACATATAATCAATTAAATCATTTTATTCTTATTACTGTTGTAAAATTTAAACACTTATCATAAATTTAAACAAAAAGAGGAGGAATCCTAGTAATGTGTACGTCGTCTCTTGATCCTTCACTTCTTGGGCTATCAAACTTAGGCCATATTTGCTTGTCTTATGAGCCGTACTATTTCAACGAACGAACAATGTTTTTCTCTCACAACAAATCAGCGAACAATACTTTTAGCCATGGTTTTTCAGCAAGCAAAGCGAACAGGACCTTAATATATTCATATTTATTCTTTTCCTAGCATGGTGATTTTCGGAATGAACGAATGGTGGGTACTCGAACAAGTGATTTAAAGAATGAATTATTCTCATAACTTTATATATATAGACAATGTTTCACACAAGGCACGAGTTTTATTGATGGTAGTTGAACTTGTGGGTGCGGGTGCGGTGCCAAATCACACTCGCGGGTCTCATCAGGTTGGGACCTGAAATGAACGAGGATTGGGTGTAGGTGCTAAACCTCAACCGCAGGTGCCTATAAAGGCTTGAAGTATAAGGATCATCTCATGTAACCAAGTATCCACAACCAGATGTTAACAATATGTTTAGCACCTAGGTCTCAAGTTTTTGGTAAAGTTCATGGGCAGTCCTCAAACTTATTCGACTATATCATCTCAGTCCCAAAACTCGCAAATCGGTTGTTTAGATCCTCAAACTTCTTCGAATATGCCATCCCAGACTCTAAACTCACAAATTGTTAGTTTAGGTCCTTAAAGTTATTCCATTGTGTCATCCCGTTTTCTAAACATACAAATCGCTCGTTTAGATCCCTAATTTTTGTTCAGGGCTCACAGTCAGTTCGAACGGGTCTAGATCCATGCCCGTATGATAATGTGGCAACGCTATGTCTCCCTTCTCCCTTTCTCCCTTGAGCTTCCCCTCTCCTATTTCCTATCTCTCTCTCTCCTCTGTAGCCTCGAGTTGTACAACAATGATGACCATGCTGCCCCAAGCCCTCACAATGAGTCGGGCGAGCCCCATTCCCATGGATGTCTACCGCCTTGGGCGGATGAGCACTTAGCCGAGTGTTGCCCCTAGCCATGCTCGTGAGGTCACCTCAGTTGTATCACCCTAGCACACGGCAGTGCCTCCTAAGTCGTGTCATCCCTGAGCTCATGGGAGAAGAGAGAAAGGAGAGAAAAAGAGCTCGGGTCCATCTAAAAAGGCGATTTGCATGTTTAGAGAGTGAAATGATATATACAACGAAACAAGTTTGAGAGCCTAAATGAGCAGTTCGTGAGTTTAATGACTAAGATTACACAGCCTAACAGAGTTAAAGACCGCCAATACGTTACTTTCAGTCCATTTCAAAAACTTGCCGGCCAGAGAGCCATTTGCGGTTGATTGTCCAACGACGTTTGGACACGTGGTGCTGCTCCATTACTCTCTGCACGGCGGTACCTGTTAGGCGCTTTGGTGGGCTGGACGCCTGGGCCCGTTCTGGCCTGCTAGCAGTGTCGGCTCTAGCACGGTGCACCCAACGCTTCTTTTGATGCAGCAGTTCTGTTGGAGTTTGCGGTCACGTAGGATTGCAGATTGGTTGTGTAGCCACGTTATGCTCCCATGTTCAGCATGATTTACACACATGTAGGATCAGGGATTGAAGATAAAATGTTGAACATGTAGCGTAAAATTAGCGAAAAGCAGCTTAGCTATTATAAAATGGTATTGACGATGAAGAAACTCCATCTACACCACGTTGACCCGTTGCACCAAGAAGTAAATTCATTCCTATCGGGAAGAAAACCCTGACTCTGCTTTCTAGGGATAGGTCCAGTACAACATCATTGGTGAAGCTAAGATAGAGTTGGGAGAGAGAAGAGAAAATAATTATTACTCATAGAAACCATATGTTAGAAAGTAGAAAAACTTTTTTGGTGCTTATATTCATTTTAATGTTATAAAAACTACTAATAGTTCATTTTTACGCTTATAGTTCATTTTAATCCCGGCATTACAAAGCCCTAATTATACTTGCCATGTTACGCTTGAGCTTATTCCAAACTACTTTCGAGCCATGGAACAATAAATCTCTCACGACATTTAACATAAGCATCGATAAGCTAAAGAGGCCCTAATTAGCTAATTGTTCAGTTCTGAATTCACACAAAGCTTTAATATGGTGTATTTTACTTTTTAGCAACAGTTCCTCAAACATAAAATGTGTTTAGTCTCACAACATTTCAATTTAAACATCAATAAGCTCGTTTTTAAATTTCAATTAGTGTTCAAACATGGGCTAATTGTTCGGTTCTAAGGAATTCACACAAATCCTTTAATATGGTGTATTTTACTTTAACACAGCAACAGTTCCTCAAACATAAAAAAGCAAAATGTACCTGGTACAGTGGTACGGTTCGCTTACACTGCTTTCTCTGATAAGTCCTGTCATCTGCTGCTTTCTTGTTCTCTGTTTCATTCCATGCCCTCTGTCTCTTCTTCTGCGGGAACTCTACAAGGGGCTGGAGCGCCACGTCGACGTCCTCGCTCCGCAGCAGCATCTCCGACACCTCGGCCGGCGTCACGTCCACGGCCGAGAGCAGCTCCTGAATCTCCGGGAACAGCGTGTGGTTGTCGACAAGGAAGTAGTTTCTGGCCAGCGTCTTGAACGCCTCCCAGCAGCAGTAGCCCATGTAGACGTGCATGTCCATCCGGCCCGGCCGCAGCAGCGCCGGGTCGAGGCGGTCCTTGTAGTTGAGCAGCCCGGACAGAGTAGTCCCACTCGGAGGAGAATAGTACGCCACCGGTGGACTGCCGTCAGACCCGTAGTCGGCGTCCATGTCGGGCTCTGGCGCCCTGCCGTCCTCCCTTTCCCTCGACGCGACGCCCTCGAAGGAGCACTCGATGTCCTCGACGTCGAGGATGGACTTGTTGGGCATGTGGACGAGCAGCTTCTGCAGGTCTGAGTTGAAGCGCACCTCGGACAGGTCGAGGTCGTAGAGGTTGAAGCGGAGGTAGTTGGCCATGGCGGCGACGAGGCTGGACTTGCCGGTGCCCGGCGGGCCGTAGAGGAGGTACCCACGCTTCCACGCCTTGCCGATGCGGCGGTAGTAGTCCCTTCTCCCCAGGAAGCGGTCGAGGTCAGCGATGATGGACTGCTTGAGCGCCGGGTCCATGGCGAGCGTGTCGAACGTGGTCGGGTGGTGGTGGTTCATGCCGTACCAGGACTTCCCCTCATTCATGAATATCCTGAGCGCGCGGTCGCGTAGCTGCAGCTGCTCCGCCATGTACATGACGAAGGGCACGTACCGCTCCACCGCCACGCCGGCGTGCTCGGCGTCGAAGCTGAGCTGGTTGGCAGGTTCTCGCGCGGGCCGCCGACGCCGCGATTGCCCTTGTTTCCATCCTCGCCGTCGCTCTCGACGGAGGTCCACGTGAACTCGACGCCTTCGAAGTGGTCGACGGTTGAGCCACCGGGCTCCATGCACAGGATCGTGCTCCACGAGGCGGCGCCGTCGGGGTCCCTGGATCGGGAGAGCGTTAGGCCGAGGCGGCGCATGGCGCGCGGGTCGATCCGGGTGGCTAGGTACGCGCGCGCCGAGTCGAAGAGCTGGTTGTCGTTGTAGCCGCCGTTGGACTGAGGCCGGATGACGATGGTGTGGCGCTCCTTTTCGCCGCAGCGGCGCGCAGCTCGTCCGGGAGCAGCTCCCGCGCCATGCTGCGCGCCATAACGGCGTACGCCGCAGCGGAGGCCGCCGTGGCCAGCGCCGTCTTGTACGCGTCCAGCACCCTCCCAGCTCCCTGCGACGGTGGCACTGGCACGGCCAGCGGAAGGCGGTCCATGGTCAGCTGCCGAACGGCGGCGCGTTGTGCGCAGTGTGCTTCTCCTCTGAGCTCTGAGGTGCTGGGTGCTGGAGGCTGGAGCTGGGTTATGCCGTGGGCTGTGCAGTGCTGTCTGGCAAATGGCTTGTGCTCTTAGGGCCCGTTTAGCACGGCTTCCGCCGGCTCCGGCTCCGCTTGATAAAAGTTGCGCTGATCACTGTAGCGATGAGTCGGTTTTCTCTCTCCACCTTTTCTGTCTCACTGTAGCATGGGTACGGTAGCATGCGGGAGATGGGAGATGAAGCCGGAGAAGCCAGGAAAACGAGCTTCTCCGGCTCATATGAACAGTGCGAGTGTTAGTGAGAGGGGGAGAGGAGGAGAGAGGAAAGCCGCTTCTATGAATAGTACGCTACAGTGTCGGTGTTAGAGAAGCCCGAGCCGGCGGAAGCCGTGCCAAACGGGCCCTTAATATATCTCCCTGCAAGTTGTATGAAGAATATTACGTATGTTTCTAGTCAGACAATAGTATTTCTCATATATGACAATTCAAGGAGCATCTGATCTCTCCGATCTGTTCACGAGCATTAGCTTTATTTGTCTGTTCACGAGCATTACCCTTTTTTGTAAAAATTCTTCCCGTTTTATTGGTTGATTTGTTCCTTTATCTTCCCGCTCACGTGATGTCATAGCAATAATGATAATGTTGAGCTAGATCTGACGGCAATTTAGACTATATACACTGCTCACTGGTGCAATGACTTGCTAAGACTTGCCTGCATAATTTGTTCATTACAAGGAGGAACGACATTGTGATTGTCGACCTCAGTGATAACAACAATATTTGTGCTGTTGCATCCTTCACTATTCAGTTTGTTTGTTTAACTAGAATTCTTAGTCATATAGTGGATTGATACCTTAATCAGCACATATTAAATTGTAACATTTCAACGAGCCTGTCGCTCTCATTTAAGAATAAAACAGATGTTATTTTTTTTGGTAATGTTCATACACTCTATTTTTTATTTTTTCTTGTAAATTCCCGCGGCAACTCGTTGGGAAATTCTTCAGGTTACTTATAAAAATCAAAAGAACCGATGCAAAGCAGGTCGTGTGGTTAATCGTGTGCTTTTTTCTTATGCATGCATCTGTGCACCTCTCTGATCGAAGTGTGAACGTGACGTACAAACCCTCCTTTACTCATGCATGCATAGCAACGCGCTCTCACTCATTGTGTCTTTTTTGCGTTTCATTCATCACTCACAGATTCTTCATCACTCGCACATTCTCTATTTGGAGGCGTGAGTCATGACTCATGACTGGAGGTTCATTGCACTGGGGCAGCCATATCTTTGCAGATGCACATACTCCTACCACGGGCCGCCGTGATAGCACCACGTAACTGGTCGATGCGCGCACGCCGTCACGCTGGATCGCGTATTCGCAGGGGCACCACGTCCTCGTACTGTCACGCTGCGTTAGATCTGTTCGGCAGGAGTTATTGTTGCTACGGCTGATTTATTATGAGAGAAAAACACAGTTTCGATGGCTGAAAAGTAGAGCTCATTCTAGCTGATTAGCGCAAGCGAACGTAGCCTTTAACTGCTATAAGCGATGGGCCCACCGCAGAACGGCTGGTCCGCAGTTTCTTCACTTTCCAGTGTACTCCTACATGGGCATTCTGGGCTCAACTGCAAACCGAAAGGCTACCGGGCGGCAGATGCAAAACGACTCCCTGATCGCGTGTCGCCTCGTGTGCCGGTCATTTCTTTTAGTTTGATTAAATTGGTAGAAAATATTAGTAATATTTATATCTCTAAATAATTATAGAAAGAATATATTCAAATATCTATCTAAATATGTACTATAAATATCAATATTTTTTAAATATATTTAATAAAAGCTGAGAATGTTTGACTCCTCGAAAAATAGGAACGACTGATAAAAAAGGAAAGGAGTAGTACGCTCCATGGACTAGAAATTGTATTTTTATTTTTTAGAAAGTTATAGAGCTACACTCACAACTTTTGTGTAAAATATTTTATGCGATATAAGTTACCACCATAATTTTATATCATATCTTTTTCAATATAATTTTCATAACTACGAGTGGACAAATTTATCATAATAATTTCTTAATATAATTTTCTAACATAAATTTTATATAATAAATTTTACGAATAATATACTTATACATGTATTTTTGTTGTCCAACATATTTATTTTAGATAAACTTCTGAACCTAAAAATTGTTCATAGCATATAGAAGAAAAAAATGTCAATTGACATGAAAATTTTTAAAAGAGGAAAAGAGAGAAGAAGAAAAAAAAAGAAAAAAGTAACAATTGCAAGGATGTGGGGATTCGAACCATCGTCAAAATGGAATTGTTGGTTAATACATAAAGATCATGGTGAAAAGTTGTCGTCAATATAGGTTAATATATAAATCTCTTCTTTTGATTTAAAAAGCGTCATGATAAAAAGTTATTGTGATAAGATTGTTTGTGTTAGAAATTGTATTAAAAATGTTATGATAAAAAATTATGGTGATAAATTGTTTATAAAATTATGTCAAGAAATGTATTGAAAAGTTACGATAAAAAGTTATGGTAATAAGTCCGGTTCCACAAAATGTTACACACAAAAATGTGATTATATGTGTATAACTTTGTAACTTTTTAATAAAAATAAAAATTTACAGAAATGAATCTTTCAAAAAAAAATCACAGAAATTGGTGCGGTCGTTCCCTTTGCTTTTTTTTAGCACCCGGTCGTTCCCTTTCCTGTTTTTTCAACGAACGATCGCTTTCTTTCAACGAACCATCGCTAAAATGAAATTGGGCAGCATAAAGTGAAGGGCCGACCCGTATAATACGCCCCAAGCAGAAAATAGCCGCAGTTGTGGCAAGTCGGAACTTGTAAATAAAACAGTAAAAGACGTGTACGACTAGCAGACACGTTATCTGAGATAAAAAAAAGCAGACACGTTATCTACAGTAGAGATAAAATACAATTCAACAGCATCCCTTCAAATTCACTTTGCAATTTCAGAATTACCATCTGACATGTGGCTTGCAAATGGATTGAAACTCTCAAGAGAGCTTACAAAGCTCAACTTCGCTACACTATCACGGCAAACTCAGTAAATCACCACAATCAACATCAGTTCCAACGAGCTATATATATAATCTATAAACTTCATGTATTAGCCTTTTGACCACCGTCTCTGAGTAAGTCCTGGTCAAAATAAGCTTTATCTCCGGACTAAACCGTATGGCAATGGCAAACAGATCAAACGATTTCACCTCTTGATGCCGCTGTCTCGTAAAATGTGATGAGAGGATACCATTTTTACATCCATATAGGCGAATTTATAGTAGTACAAATAGGATTCTGGCAACGGAATCTATTTGCTTTCAAACATCTAAATACCATGTAAAAGCAAAGTTCTTCTTTGGAACAAAGTGAAAATTTGAAACTGAAGTATTAAATGTATTAGGTGACTTAATGTGAAATGATTACATGATTTAGCATTAAATAGCTTGTTTTAGGGTGTGAAAATTCTAGAGAGGACAACTGTCGCAGAACTACATTGCACAATATTATTGCCAATTTGTGGAGTTGTACACTTGCATGATTACCTTAGAAGGTAGTATATCTTAGGTAATAGATTAACATTAACTGCATTTCTATATGAGGATAGTCATGTACTACCTTCATTCCTAAAAAAAGGGATTTTTAGCAGTTTAAAGTGCACCCACCAAATTTATAGAAAAGAACAACAATATTTACAGAAATGAGCTTTATTAGATGCATTACAAACTGTATTTTCATACCGCCGCAGAGCCCAATATGCTTGTTCCTCTCTCTCTCCCACGCTCCCTTATCTCGTCGTGCCGCTCTCTCTCCCTCTCTGGTTGCTGCTCGCGCGCGGACAGGGTTAGCCGAGCCCAGAGCTTTAACACCCTCGGTGTTACGCCCTAAACCAACTACTAAATCATGTCATGAGCATCATGTTTATGTAATAATGCATGTGATAGAAGGTGTTGATAAATTTCTTGTAGCCTAAAATAACCAATAAAAATGTTAAATGAATGTTGATTCAATAGCTCATGTATATCAACTAGGGTTGAAAATCAATTTTTATTAAGCAAAAATACTATAGAACATGTGTGTGATACTTAAATAAAGTTTGAAGTACAAACTTTGTAGATGACAATGCAACTCTTGCTGTAGAAAAATAATATGACTAGCTAGTATTTCTAATGGCTTAGAAATAGAACTTGAAGTCAAATTCAGCTCAAGACTTGGAAGAAATTTCAAGTTTGAAAATAGTGTGACAATGCCATGTTGACGAATTAATTCTGGAAAATCTAGCTAAAGGTCAATGGTGTGTTTTTGCTCCTTATGATAGACCGATGTGCCCTCGTTAGCATAGTCGAGGTAGATTAGTTTCAACTGTGTTAGG